GTCTAGGGCATTTCCACTAACCATCCCCGAGGAGAAGCCTCTACCTTCAGTTTTGCAGGCACCCGACGTTGAGATGAAACCACTCCCAACACATTTGAAATATGTGTTTTTGGGGGAAAAAGAGACACTACCGGTCATTATCTCAAACAAATTGACCGGAGAACAAGAAGGCAAATTGATAGCGGTGCTCAAGGAGCATAAACTAGCAATTGGATGGACTATAGCCGACATCAAAGGCCATTAGTCCATCTACTTGCATGCATCGCATCTTAATGGAGGATGAGGCCAAGCCGGTACGACAACCGCAACGAAGACTAAACCCACCTATGATGGAGGTGGTCAAAAAAGAGGTGATCAAACTACTCCAAATGGGGATAATCTTCCCCATCTCCGACAGCAAATGGGTTAGCCCAACCCAAGTGGTCCCAAAGAAAACCGGAGTCACGGTAGTGGAAAACAAACATGGAGAACTAATGCCCACCCGAATTCAAAATGGATGGAGGGTATGTATAGATTACCGTAGACTCAATGCGGTAACTAGAAAGGATTTCTTTCCTTTACCCTTCATCGACCAAATGCTTGAGAGACTTGGCGGGCATAAGTTCTATTGCTTTCTTGATGGCTACTCCGGGTACTTTCAAGTGCCTATAGCCCCTGAAGATCAAGAGAAGACCACTTTCACTTGTCCATTTGGCACTTTTGCATACCAGCGCATGCCATTCGGACTTTGCAATGCCCCGGCCACATTCCAACGATGCATGATGAGCATATTCTCTGAATATGTTGAGCTATTTATGGAAGTCTTCATGGATGATTTTACAATCCATGGAGACTCATTTGATTCATGCCTACTTCATCTATCTCCAGCGAAGGCCCAACAGGCCCAACAGGCCCAAATCACAGCGCCCAGAGTACCAAGCAGTCCGCACAACGCGCCAGGGGTGCCTTCGGCCCCCTGGCCGAAGGCTCCAAATTCTCACAGAACGGGTTTCTCAAGCAAATTAAGAAACTGGGAGAAAACGGCGAAAACAGTAGCCCTCGGCACTGTGAGCCCTCGGCACCAGGGTGCCATCGGGTGGAAGAGCCCTCGGCTACTGCTCTATAGCCGAAGGCATCTCACTCGACAAGATATCCGCCTCACATGCGTACAGATCACCGTACCCCGCACAGACGTCCCATCCAACAGCCGCATTAAATGCGGCCACATGCGGCTGCCAGCGCCAACCAGTTGAGGTGACCCCTCGGCCAATAAGCGCTTGACACGTGTCCCTGCCCGGCATTTATTGCTACTATAAATAGCACCCCATTTCCTCATTTGTAACCACGCTGAAAACGGCACTCAGACTGAATACACACTCTCTCTACTTTTATTTACTTGCTCTGACTTCTCTCTAGTTATTCTCCGCAATAACCCCTCGGTTAAGCTACCCCCGGGTACACTATCCATCAGTTAGTGCAGGGCCTCTCCCTCCAGCAAAATCACAAAATAAGACCACAATTCCTATTTTATGAATTTCTTCTTCTTCTTCTTGAATTTCTTGTTGTCAATTTTGATTACTTTGAATCTCAAAATGCCCTGACTAATGAATCCAGAAAATGTCACTTTTTGAATAACAGAATGTCATAATTATTGGGTATTTTTACAAAAATGTCACTTTTATGTCATTACAACATTTGAAAATGTCATATTGAGAATGTCATGTTTGTATACGAAATTGTCATTATTGTGTCATAAAAAATAAACATGTCAATTTTTTAAAAAATGGCATCTTGTGTACTGTGATGTTAAAATAATGTTGGCATTTTAGAATAGAAAGATGACATTTACAGAAGGAGAAGAAGAAGAACAAGAAGAAGAAGAACAAGAAGGAGGAGGAGGAGGAGGAGGAGGGGGGAGGGGGAGGAGGAGGAGACCTGATTTTCCTGGAGATGGCGCCGAGCGCCGAGCAGGCGGCTGCGATGATAGGCCGGCGTCGAGTTGCGAACTTGCGATCGATGGAGGTTGAGCTGCGTCCATATATGGCGGTTGAGTCACAAGGGGAGTTGTAGGTCTGGCGATCGATGCAGAGGGATTTGGGGAAAAGGTGATTTAGGGCTTAGGGGCAAAAAGGTAATGTGGAGTCCCATTTAGGGAATTTAAAACTTGAAGTCATATTTTGAAGTTTTAGCCATGTTTTAGTCCCATTTAGAACAATTTTCTTAACTAATAATCCAACCTTTTAGCGGGGTTTTAGAATAGTCCCACCTAATCGTAAGTCAGGAATAATTCAATCTTTGCATCTCATCTTCATTTGCTGGTCCGTGACTAGTTGATGACCTGCTATTCTAGAATATTTTCTTTTCTTTGCAAAACATTAAACCATAAATCTCACCTTTCACAAATCTTCTCCAAGCGGTCCCACATATCATTTTTCTTTTTTCTCCCTAAAATTTTCTCTTTTCATTTTTATTGTCTTGACTCTTTTATTCCCCCCGACCTTTAGGTCTTCTTATTCTTATTTTTATTTCTTTTGAAATTTTTCCAGTTTTTGTATTCCATTTTTCCTTCTTTCTCTTCATCCCGTTTATTATTTCATTTTCATTTTTATATATCTTTTTGGATTAGTTTCCTTCTTATAAAAGATCTTATTCAATTCTCACCATACTGACTTTTTACTTTACTTTCTTTTTACTTACATTTATATTTTCGAGAAAATAGCCCCAAAATAGGAACAAACTAATCCCTAAATTGCACAAATAGGACTGCTATTTATCTTCCCAAAATTGGACTAAAGTACACTCTATCTTCTTATTCGGATAATCATATTTTACATTATAATAAAAAAGTTTAATTTATAAGAATATAGTAAAAAAATATAAAAAAATTAAAGTATTTTTTTAAAATAATAATATAATAAATAGTAATAAAACATAATTTTTTTAAAAAAATAGATAAAACACATTAAAAATATTAAAAAAAATTGGAAGCCTTTCCCGCAGCCTTTGCCACCTCTAAGCATGCCAACTCTGATCGGCAAAAAAAATGCCATTTTGTGTAAGCACTGCATTTTTTCTTTCAAAATGTCATGAATATGTTATTTTTACTATTAAAAATGCCAAAATTTTCTCAAAAACTTCCATTAAGATGGCATTACTGGTACATGTTGGCATTTTTTCTAATGATCGAAGCTGGTGGTGTTGGGAGGTTGTTGAAGTGGCAACAGATGCCTGCATTTTTTTTGTTTAAGTTTTTGAGTTTTTAATTTTATAATTTTATGTTACCATGCTTCAAAAAAATTGTTTTTCTAATTTTTTAATTTTATTAATTTTAGGCTAAAGGGTCAAATAGGCCCTTGAACTAAATTAAAAAGTGCAAATCACCCCTTATATAGGAGGCTCTGTCCGGCCGTCGCCATTTGGGGCAGTTCTCGGTAGAATTTTTGGATGAAATTTTTTAAACATTTTCTTCATTAAGTCTAGTTTAGTCATACTAAATTTCAGATCAATATTTAATCGGGAAAACAGCCAAATGAATTTTTGAAGATAACTGCGCAGTTAAATAGCGCAATACATTTCATAAAATCATTTGACTGTCTTCCCGGTTGAATTTTTATCAGAAATTTGATATGAGTAAACTAGATTTAATGAAGAAGATTCTAAAAAATATTCATCAAAAAATTTAATCGGGAACCTCCCCAAATGGTGACGGCCGGACAGAGCTTTCTATATAAGGGGGTGATTTGCACTTTTTAAGTTAGTTCTAGGGCCTATTTGACCCTTTAGCCTTAATTTTATTTAATATTTATTTTCGATTTTTATTTTTCTACATTTTTAATATAAATATGGTTATGTTATTCCTTTTATGTTTTAATTATTAATGAAATATGAATTGCACTAAAACGAAGCAAGGGTAGAATTGGAAAGCTAGTCATATTTAATTAAGGAAATTTGAAATCATACTCATATTCTTGCAATTAAACTTTCATTAAATACTATTTGAGGAATGTCCCCTAAGCTATATTTATCTCTTTTCCAAAAAAATCAAAGAAAAAATATAAACAAGTAGCCCGTAAAAAATTATAAAAAGAGACTAGAATGAATAGGAATACATAAAAAGTAAAGAAAAATTTTAGGAATAAAAAAATAAAAATCATATGTGAGACTGTTTTGAGAAGATTTGTAGAAGGTGGAATTTATAATGTTATGATTGGCAAAGAAAATGAAAAAACCTGGAATAACAGGTTGGATTATTCTTGAATTACGATAAGGTGAGATGATAGTAAGAAATCACTAAAATGTTGGATTATTAGTTTCCATTTTCCCTTTACAAAAATGTGATTAGTGACTAGATTAGTATTAAGTAACCATAAAATTAGTGTAGTATAACTACTAGTCACATTATTGTAAATAATTTTTTAAGTAGTATTATAAAATAAAACTCAAAATCAAACCCTATATAATAATCACATGAAGACTATCATTCATTATTTGTGTTGTTAGTTTGTCGATCCGGTTTTGATCAATTTGGTTTCAGGAAATGTAAAATTAGAACTTAAATAAACGCGTATAATTTAAGGTAGATTCTATGGTACCCATAAAGTATCATACATTTGTCCACATGGACCAATGAAAATGTAGCAGTTGAATTATTTAAATCTAAATTAATAATGATAAAGTTACGTGATCCAATCAAATGATCGAATGATAGATACGATACCCCATTTTTTAGAAAGATACCGGAGTTCTCACCATAATTTAAACGTATAATTAGTTTCGGGCCGTCATTCTCAGCACATCATGATTGATAAACTTTCTCAAACATCATTTGCAAATGACCCTTTAAACATACATTTCAAAAAGTATTTTCTGCTCATACAGAAAATGTTTTGAATTTTCTCGTAAACATGCATACGTTGTTTTTGTTCGGTTTATTGATCGGTTTTTATGAGCCTGCGCATACTAAAATAAATCAACGATTAACACATACGGAGTACTACTTAAAGATGTGATCATGAGAAAATACTACTTGATCGAAATCGCTCTAATTTTCCATTTTTCCCTACGTACATGTTTGTCTGAAAATGAATTAACCAAGTAATAAAAAGCTAAGGTGGAGGACTTAAAGGAAGAAAAGAGCTGATTCCGGCGGGCGGTTTCTTGTCTCCGCCGCCATTAATTCATATTTTATCATACATATGATCTGGAGGAGGACCGGGGAGAGTAAAAAAGAGATAGACATGGGACCCATCTCGGACACCATAATCTACGAGCGGAGCCTCGTCGTCGCACATCAAACAGCGTTCGCCGTCGCCGTCGCCGTCGGCGTCGCACATCAAGCAGTGGTCGCCGTCGCCGTCGAGATGCATCAAGAAGAACAACCTATTCTCCGGCCGCAGCCGCTCATCTTGAATGCAGATCTCCCTCTTCAAGTCTTCTACGGTGGCGTCCTTCTCCACCTGGACGTCAAACACCCGCCCCATCAGTATCTCCACCGTCACTTTCATCTTAATTAATATAAATTCTGTTGATCGCCTATCTTCTTTTTCAGGGCTTTTGTTAAATATATTTATTTGTTTAAAATAAATTCATTGATTTGCTCCTATCTAGTTAACGGATCGGCCTATATATATTACATACACATATGTATATGCATGTGTAGTTAGGGAGGATCCACAAATTTGAGTGCTAACTATAAAGTACCCAGTACTTCGTAATTAATGTACTAATAATATTTGGAGTTAGTGGTTGACATTTTAGAATGAAAACTAGAATCTGGATTCGAGGTCTAGTTATAATGTAGACTCACCATAGTATTATACGTAAACCATCTCAAAATGATTACAAAGCCAACACGGCTTTATTTTATTTACTCAATTAGCGTATCAATTTTTACTTATTTAAAATATACTAGTATTAGCTTCAAGGTATATTTAACTATTTAAAATATTTTAACTCAGATTTTACAACTTTGTAGAATCTTAATTAATGTAGTTGAATATATAAATTTTAATTACTAAAATTGATTTAACTATTTGTATGGAACTTTGTAGTTGGTTAATCTTAAAAAACACAAATTGCAATTTAATTGGGGACGAGAAAAGATTGCATGTAACTATGAATATAATGGCCACATAGAGTGCATTTTATGAGTTGGTTTGGGTTTGCATGCCTGAAATATGGCACGGGATAGTTATGAGATAGATCCATCCACATAATCAATTTTGGGATCACTAATTATATTATTAATTTATTCCAAATAAAAAGATTGAACAATGAGCGATCGAGCGTGCGTTTCTTGATCTGGCCTGCGCTGTCCGTGATCACCTACGTATGTACTGGCATGGAATTAGTCCTCATCTCTTCTGCCATAATAATTACAGTTTCATTCATTTTGTTTAATTTATTCCCTTTTATGAAAATATAGTAATTAATGTTTCGTTCATTACTGTTAAGAAGTTAAATGTCATTTCATTTATTTCCTTGAAAGAAAATGTGATGCGAAGGTTATTTCATTTAGTCAAATTGATTTTTTAGTCAATGATTATTAACAAAAATTACTTTCATGCAATTTTCAAATTTATTTTGTATCAAAAGATATCATTAGTTCCATACACACTACTAGTGCATGGGAAATGATGCACTGCTAAGTTGCACGGGAACTCAAAAATCACGAGGAAACGGGAAACGTCAATTTTTGCTCAAAAAGCACTTGTTTGAAGAGTTTCCAAAGAGTCCCCGTACAATTTTGGAAACGGAAACGTACTCTTTTCCGAGAGTTTTCGTGCTACATAGATGCACTGAATTAATGATTGTTACATACTCCCTCCGTCCCGCTAACAATAGGACAAGAGGGAGTGACACGCTAATTAATAAAAAGTGGTTTATGTGGTTGATATTGAATTGATAAAGTAAGAATAAAGTAAGAATGATTTAGAACAACACAAACTTTACAAAATTTGATATGGGACAATCTTAGTGGAACAGACAGATACGGTAAAATGGAACAATCATAGCGGGACGGAGGTAGTACTACGTATTTAATTACTCATGCTTTTTTATTTAATGACTTCGATCTTATATTTTGTGTTTAGTTGTGATGACTGTTCTCTAAAATTTGTTTATTCTTTCTTAGAAGTTTCACCATCTATGTTCATCAGTTAATCACCTGATTAACTCAGTCATGATGGACGGATTGAATGTGGATGTAATTTTAATAGATAATGGATGTATGGATGAAATATGAATAATTAATGGATATTTAGGTGCGGGTGAACAGATATGATTTGGATATAAAATTGTAGTCTATTAATTATAATCTCCAATTTCAAATAAGAACAATGAGTCACCGAGTCAAACAGCTACCAAGTATAATTTGGAAATAAAATTGCATATAGTCAAAGTTTTTAAATTAAAAAATATACATTATAAAAAAAAGATATAATGACAAAAATACAACTATTTGCTAAGAGACAAAAATGAGATCACTTTTTGTGCGGGCAAAAAAAGACAAAAAAAAACTAAAAATAAATGACCAACATACCCTTGATATAAATATTGAAACTTAATTAATCCGGTGACAGATGTTATATCGGGGATACCGATGGGGGCATCTAGAGAATAGTCAGAACAAGTAAGAGAGAGTGAGTGTGTATTCAGTGAAGTTGTTATTGTGTTCTTCTGTCCATTACAATGGAAGAAGTGCTGCTATTTATAGCAGCCATAAATGCTAAGTGCAATAAATGAGGGCACATGTGTCAAGCAACCAGCGGTGGAGAGTCAACTCAGCCAGACACAGCATGTGGCACCGGCATAACATGTGGCCGCATTCAATGCGGTGATTTGGATGTGATGTTGCATTCAATCTGGTGATTTAGCGCATGTGGAGTGGAGTTCCTGTCGAGGAGAGTGCCTTTGGCTACATGCACCCGGGGGCTGCATGTGCCGAAGGCTATGTATGAGCCAAAGGCTGCCTGTGCTGAAGGTCGTTCGTACCCAGGGGCCATTTGGGCCTTGGTTGCGTTCTGGGGACGTACGTAGCTGGGGAGGACCTCATGTGCTGAAGGGCGTACATCCCATGGGGCCATACGTAACTGGGGAGGACTTCATGTGCAAGAGGACGTACGTAGCCAGAGGGCCATCATGTGCTAGAGGACGTACGTATCCGGAGGGCCGTCATGTGCTAGAGGACGTCCGTATCTAGAGGACCGTCATGTGCTAGAGGACGTACGTATCCGGAGGGCCGTCATGTGCTAGAGGATGTACGTCCCCAGAGGGCCGTCATGTGTTAGAGGTCGTACGTAGCTGGAGCTCATCACGTATTAGAGGACGTACGTACCCAAGACCCTTCATGTGATGGAAGACGTACGTCCCTGGGGCCTTCCATGTGCTAGAAGACGTACGTCCCCTGGGGCTTCATGTGCCGAAGGACGTACGTCCCCTGGGGCCTTTATGTTCCGAAGGACGTACGTCCCCTGGAGCATTCAGGGGCCTTGTTTGTTGTGTTTGGGCCGCTTGGGCTTGTTGGGCTTGATTGTAGTAGTGGAAGTATGTGGGTCGGGGATTCCTGGGCCATATACTTTATCAGGAGTCCCCCACTCCTTTTGCCGAGAGCTTCTCGAGGGAAATAGGAGTAAGTGTTGTGAAGTCGCCGGTGGCTGCCTTGCGTTTGCGTGTTTTGCCGAGGGGAGTCCCCCAGTCCCCCACATTTTGCTGAGGGGAGTTCCCCAGTCCCCCACTCATTGAGGCACATGTAATGAGGTGAAAAGGAGTAGAGCAATGCACATCTTCAAGTAGGGGGCCCAAGGTCGACACCTTTTGGTCCACGATGGGGAGATGCCTCGTTAAAAACCACATTAGGAAAAACCTTGTGGGAAAAAATCCTAATGAGGGAAAAAGAGTACACCGGATGCCCCAATAATGAAGCAAGAGGGGTGAACCCTTCGGCCTGGTTGTAGGAGCTGCAGAGGTGTCCGTCTACTGAGGGGACACCCGTCTGAATATGAGGACGACGACGCTCATGAGTAGGTCCGAATCTGAGGACGAGGCGATGGACGCCCGTCTGATCATGAAGATGAGGCGATGGATGCTCGTCTGAATATGAGGACGAGGCGGTAGATGCCTGTGTGAATATGGGGATGAGGCGATGGACGTCCATCTGGATGTGAGGATGAGGCGATGATGAAGCCGACTGTCCTATAAAGGCGATGGTCACCATCCAGGAAGGGATGGCGAGCCCAATCGCTAGCTTAAGACGCTCGGCACTGGGGAAGCCGGTCTTTGAGACATAGAATCACGTCGAGGCTGGGAGGCCGTTCGTGATCTGAGGACGTCAGCGCTGATGAAGCCGACTGTCATATAAGGGCGATGGTCATCATAGAAGTAGGGGATGGCGAGCCCAATCGCTAGCTCAAGACGCCCGGCGCTGAGGAAGCCGGTCTTAACATACAGAATCATGCCGAGGCCGGAAGGCCATTCGTGAGCTGAGGACGACCGCCAGTGATGGGCCAATAGTCGTATATAGAATCACATCGAGGATGAGGGGCCATTCGTGATGTATGGACGTCAGCACTGAGAGGTCGATCCAAAGTCCAAGCAGCGGTCCTCATCCATAAAGTGAGAGCATGAGGCTGCTCTCCAGAGTATGATGACCACGTTGAGACCGATGGGTCTGCCGTGTCGATACAGAAGATCACGTTGAGAGCGAGGGTCTGCCATGTTGATATAAAAGATCACGTTGAGACCGAGGGTCTGCCGAGTTGTGAGGACGCATGGCGATGAGGAGCCGGTCCTGATGACGAGGCGATGATGAACCCGTTTGTCATATAAGCTCAAGACTCTCGGTGCTGAGGAAGTCGGTCTTGAGGTAAAGGATCACATTGAGACCGATGGGCCATTCGTGATCTGAGGACGTACGGCGATGAGGATCCGGTCCTGCAATATGGTGACGAGGTGATGATGAAGCCATTCGTCGTATAAGCTCAAGACTCTCGGCGCTGAGGAAGCGGTCTTGAGGCAAAGAACCACGTTGAGATCGAGGGGTCAGCCGTGATCTGAGGACGTACGGCGATGAGGAGCCAGTCCTACAATATGATGACGAGGCGATGATGAAGCCGTTCGTCGTATAAGCTCAAGACTCTCGGCGCTGAGGAAGCCGGTCTTGAGGTAAAGGATCACGTTGAGACCGAGGGGTCTGCCGTGATCTGAGAACGTACGGCGACGAGGAGCCGGTCCTACAATATGATGACGAGGTGATGATGAAGTCGTTCGTCGTATAAGCTCAAGACTCTCGACGCTGAGGAAGTCGGTCTTGAGGTAAAGGATCACGTTGAGACCGAGGGGTCTGCTGTGATCTGAGAACGTACAACGAGGAGGAGCTGGTCCTGCAATATGATGACGACGCGATGATGAAGTAAGCTCAAGAGTCTAGGTGCTGAGGAAGCCGGTTTTGAGGTAATCACATTGAGACCGAGGAGTCTACCTTGATCTGAGGACGTACAATGATGAGGAGTCGGTCTTACAATATGGTGACGAGGCGATGATGAAGCCGATTGTCATGTAAGCTCAAGACTC